TATATATATATACTGATGAACTCAGTTGCTGATCTACGTATGTAGCTTCTGCTAAAATATTTATGACATGTGTGCTTTAGAACATGCGAAACTAAAGAAAATATTTAGCGGTTTAAAATTTGCAGAACTAACTTTTGGATTAGCGCTGCCCACCACTGGTTGTGTCCTTGGGTAAAACACTTCACTCCTAATGTCTCTGATGTGTGTCCCATCAGTGTATGAATGTGATTGGCACTGATTAGTCTCCATAGTTGATTGATTGTACATATTGGCTTTGTAGAGACCTAATAGAGTGCTGTGTGAATGGGTAAATGTGAACACAGATTGTAGTGTGAAGAGCTTTGAGTGTCCTGAATGGATAGAAAGGCGTTATACAAGTCCAGTCCATTTACCGTTTGTAATAGTGTAAGCAATGTGTAAACTAACATCACTATATAGCGATATATACTATGTACATTTTTATGCTGAATTATTTTTATATTCTCTCTGTCAAGGTGCCCTGATTTCACAGCCTCACATTGGAAAACCTAGTAAACATCATCATTTGCCCATTATGCTTTGCAGCCAAATGTAAAGCACCAGGGGAGCAGTTGGGGGTTGGGTGTCTTGCTCAAGGACACCCCAACATGTGGGCTTGGAGGGGAGTCGAACCTGTGACTCTCTGGTCCCAAGTTGGCTGCTCTAGCACAACACCACAGCCGCCCAACCTTAATAAAATGGCACAGTCTAAGTGAAAATATATTGCTGAAAATTTATAAAAACTAAGCCAAAAGTATTTTTACAGACTTTTTTTAATAGTTGAAGTAAATGTTTATCAAATAATGTCTAATATTACAAGTAATCAGGAATCCCTTTAGCATACATTACAGAAAACTAAAAGTGTAGTTATGTTTGTGCCTGAAGATTGAATTCCCTTCTTCATTTCTTACAGCTGTTCCTCTGGCTACACTTCCTGCTGTTCAGCTGTATTATTCTCTTTTTAGTGACACCTACAGTTCAAGAGAACTGCAGCAACAAACTCTAAAAAATCATCTTAAAGCAATGAGAATCAACTAATAGTCCATAAAAAGATAAACTCTTGTTTTATTCTTGTTTTAACTCATACTGTTAGCTCATATTGTGAATAAAGGTTACATCACATTGCATTGTTTTGTTGCCTTTGTATATGAATCATATAAGCCACAGACCAATAATAACTGTGGCTTAAACTATTGTTAAAATTATATTCAGACACAATTATAACAGCTAATTTATCACAAGAGAAACTTAACCAGATAAAAAAAAGAAGTCAGTTGTTTAAGTCCAGCTGTGTTGCATCACATTTTTCACAACATGAACTGCATTCAGATGGGAAATTTACTGCCTGGTAAGCTAATTACATTAGCTGAAAGGATTAGCTTATTTTATTAGCCAGGCTAGCTCAGTGATTGACAGAGGTTCTTTGTACAGTTGCCAGGAGATAACAAAGGATGTTTCCTGTGTTGTAACTCACAGACAGGCTCAGGCTACACGGTGTTTGGATATTGAATTCACAAGGAATATAAACAGACTGTTTTACAGTATTCTAATCTGCAGTTTTAAAAAGTTGAGAGGACAAAGACGTTCTAGATTTTGGTCAATTTTTATCTGTCTCAATATTTTACACTTTGGCTCAGAACAAATGAGAGATGCAGTAGTTCTAAGGTGTTAAACTTCAGGATTATAATGTAATGCAAGAGTGGAGAAAACGTGGGGTCAGATGCATCTCAGTAATCCAGATAGAAAAAATCAAAAAGAAAAAAAAAGTAGGTCCTCTCAATGGGTTCTTCTTTAGTGAAACGTTTAGTCTCTCCTCCAAGAGACTTCTTCAGTCTGATGAGTTTCAGATGAACTCAGCCTTATAAGAACTGCCTCCACCTGGACAAACAGGTTAGTCATATGCTTAAGAGGGCCATTGACTTACAATAGGCTTGATTGGCTCTATTGTTCACAGAGGGTCATGTGCCCCATCACCTGATCCGTGTCGTGTTATGTGTATGTAGTGAACGCAAGCAGGGTTCAACATTCCCTTGTTTTTGTTCCTCTCTCCCTCTTTGTGTTGGTTATCGTTGGGGCCCTGATTCACACCTTTTGCTCACAGGGGGCTGAGTCATACTTGCAATTACAGCACTGTAGGAGGAGGACAACTGGACACGAAGGCCTCCACCTCTGTTTAATG